GGGGGGGGGGATGATGATGATGATGATATAGAAAGGAGAACATGTCAGAGAAGGGAAAGAGAGAACAGTAGCCAGTGGAGCCTTTAGCATTGTTTCCACATCTTGTGTTGACAAGACCAGGAAATGGCGTTGGGTGTCTTACAGTTGCTGCCTGTGGGAGCTGCACCTCTTTTACAGCCTTGGGGCCCAGCCCACCCCTTTAGGTTAGAATGTCTGACAACAAATGTGCATCCAAAAAATCAGCAGTATAAACTATTATATCTCAGCAAATGAAAATTGATTTTCATCCAGCCACTGAAGGCACACCTGCAACTTACAGCCTATGTGCCTTGTAAATTTGAAGTTCCTACTACCTGTGTGTTACTAGAACTTCTACAAAAAAGGCTCCGAAAACAACTTCTTAGTAATTGTAAAAGTGTATTTTTCATTTCTCTTCTTTTTGGAAAAGGGCTAGCATACTTTTTGCTGACACTCTGTGCAAAATCACCTATGCCTGCTAAGAACAAGCTACCCACATTTCAATTCAAAGGAGAACAGCTTATCAAGGGAATAAACATCTGAAAAAGACAGTTGAGCACAATGTATTGTGTAGGCTATGTTGGTATTTCTCAGGGTATAGTAAAGTCACTGCTATGAAGTTTTGTTTTATTTCCATCTGAAAACCAGCTGTTTGTTGCAGCGTTGGAGGCAAATCATTTAATCACTGTGTAGTTGAATTTAGTTAATTTGCACTTGGCAACTCTTTTACTTAGAATCACTTCTCCAATGGGAAGTTTTTTGTTGTCCCTCAACTCTTTCTTTGAACCTGTGACCAGAATGACGCTTGAATCAATTCCGACTGTGGAAAGATTTCTCTTCTCTCAAACACTGCATGGCAGACAGCTGAATATTTTAGGAGTCCAATGATTTGTCATCTTAATTGATGTGACAGTTTTGCTGATTCCCATATGTGAGGGAGCAAAGGGTTCAGCATCTTGGAGGAAGAGAGACAGAAAACATACCTGTAATGACAGAAATGTGATCTGAATACTCAGCTTTATTCTTTTCTAGTGAGTATTGGGCAAAAAAATTGTCCTTTGGAAACATTTTCAGGACTTGCAAGCAATCAAGTAGTTGCATGAAATGATTAAACTTTAAAAATGTTCCTATGCCCAGAAATAAGCCAACCTGCAAAAGGAAAAATGTTATTCTTCCACAAGAGAACTTGCTGTTATTTTCCCCCTCCCCATGAAGTAATTCATTTATTATTTACTTAGTTTGAAAAGGGATTTAGTTTCAAGCTGAGTTGAGCAAGTGAATGTTGGAAGACATCTGGGGGAAGATGGTGATTTCTTTAGTTTTATTTCTATAAACACTCCAACCCTGCTGATTTTTTGTGAAGCATGTGATGGTGTAAATGAGAATCTTTTGTGTTCCGCAACACTCCTGAGGAAGTCAAAACCCTTTGGGATTGTAGTGTACTTATGCTGTACTGCTGCTCAAGCTCACAGGCCACTTTTGAGGATTAAGCACCCCCCTACAGATCCACTCGTGTGAAGCAGAATACACTCCTGCCATACAGTTAGAGCCCACTACAAAACAGCAATTACTCTGGTTGTGCACTTGCTCCATCATGGATCTGAATGTTGAGAGCTGTGAGTAAGACAGACCCCTGCCCCTTGCCATAATTTTTCAATGGCTTTTATGCAGGGCTCTAGACTCTGCTGCCTTTTGTTTCGAACTTGCAGCACAGCTTTCTCTGTTCATGCTTCTTTTAGAGCAGGGGTGTCAAATGTGTGCCCTGTGGGCTGGATCTGGCCCATAGAACCATGTTGTCTGGCTTGCTGGACTCCCAGAAGGACCAGGATGGAGTCCACTACTGAAATCCTGGGCATGGACCCCCACTAGGGATGTGTGTCAGTAGCAACGGGTTGAGTAACACTTGCATTAACCATTGTGATTGCCACTGCCCCCTCACCCCACGGCTGTTGTCACATCAAGATCTGGGTTGGAAGGAAGGGTGAGTTTGATGGGCCTTTACCTTGGGAGATCTGGTTTCAGTTCTGTCACTAACTTCATATATGACATTAGTCACTTCATTGAATCCCCAGTTCCCTATCTGTAGACTAAGGATGGGATTCCTACTTTTCTCCCACCCTTTGCCTTCTATATTTAGATTATAAGAATTTACAGCAGGACAGTTTCTTGTTATGTCAATTTACTGTGCTTCACACAGTAAAACCGCAGTGTTAATTGTAAACCCTCAGTGCTAGTGCAATACAAATGGCTTTGAGCTGTTCCCTTCTTGATTTGAGGCTTGCCACACTGCTCCAGGTTGATGCAATAGGAGTTCTAGAGGAGCAGTGTTTTTGACAGCGCAATGTCTTTTTGCCTGGCTTACCCAATTTTTGAACTTTCTTCAAAAGAAATAATTTCCTGAAGGTCAATTTAACTTTTTATTTCCTGTGACAAAGTGGTGTCTAGTTCCAGGTCTCTGAATCTGAAGATTCGATGCTGATTCAGTGAATCAACGATTTGGACACAGGCACAGCTTTAAAAGTTTTTGCTACATATCTTGAGGTAGCAGCACGGCTCATGATCGCTGCAGTGC